CCTTGGACCCTAAGGCTGGACAAGAGGGTTAAGGTGAGAGGCTGCTAAGAGCCCCAAACTTAAGGTCCAAGCCTTAAATCCAGCTGTTGCCTTTTTTTTTTTTTTTTTTTTTTTTTTTCCTTTTCCTGAAGGAAAGAGAGAGGGTGTTTCAGAACAGAAAGTAAATTTTGGGACTCTAGAGTACATTTTCTCATTAGACAGACCTTACACCAGATATCACTCAGCAAAAGGAAACAAATTAGAAACTAAAAAATCATTGGGACTCTAATTTAAGAAACACTTCCAAATAATAGGTGGCTCTCCGGAAGCTTTAGGTGGAGTGGTGATAAAAATGGACAGACTGAAAGCTGGTGTAAGTAGCCTGACGGGACCTGAAAGGTAAAGGAGAGACCCAGAGGCACAACTCTGAGAGCAGAGGTGGGAGATGCAGGGCTTGCAGTTCCCACTTAAAGACAGTCAGAAAATGACCCACACGGTGTCAGGAAGCAAGAGCAAGAAGGTGCTGCTGAAGCAGCTGCTAAGAGCCCCACACTTGGCAGACCAACGACCAGGGCTGGGGTGGGGGTGGGCCTGGGTAGCGAGGAGGCTAAGGTGTGTGTCTGTGCAGGTACCCAGAACGGGAGATGAGGACGGGGGTGCAGCCAGGGATCAGGAGGGGACGAGGAGGGAGTGGGGCAGGCACAAAGAAGGGTGGAGTGGGGCAGTTGGGCAGGGATGAGGAGCGGATAGAGGGATAGAGATGAGGAGAGGGCAGGGATGAGCAGGGGAATGGGAGGGGCGGGGACAAGGCAATGGGGAGTGAGACACCAGGCCAGGGGCCAGGAGAAGGGGGGTGGGGCGGGACAGGGGCGGGCCTAGTTCCTTGGACCCTAAGGCTGGGCGAGAGGGTTAAGGTGACAGGCTCAAGAATCATGGGAAAAGTCAGGATCTCAGGTGGAAGGGAGTAATTAGGAGGAGGATTCTCCAGGACTTGACAGTCTGAGAGAAGAGGGAGGTTTATGGGTTGGCCGCGGGGCTAGTACAGCACCTGCGCTGTCTATAATAAGGTGGAGTCTATAGGACCCAGGGTTCAAAGGATAAAGAAAGTCTACATGCTGCGGGGTCCCCAGGGTCAAAGTGGGGAGCCGTGAACAGAGGGACATCCCGAATAAGCAGTCCCCCACCCCCCACTTCCCACCCTGTGACCGAGAACCCTCAGGCCCCAGAGCACTGCGGAGGAAACTGGCTTGCCCTGGCACTGTTCTGCTAGGACCACAACACAAGTCTCACCTTCTCGAACCTTCCCATGGGGATGGTCTGTCTCTACCTTGTGGAACTGTTCCACTAGAGTTCCTTGAACCTACCTTGTGGAACTTTCCCACGGAGGTAGCCATCAGCCCTTCTGGAACCTTCCTGGCGGTCTCCTGTCCAAACCGTTGTCCAACGTTCCTGAGGGACAGCTCGGACCCTTCTAGAATCTTCCCCAGGAGTTGCTCCTCCCGGATGTTTCCGTTGGGGGCAGGGGCTCTTACCCTTTAGACTTTGGGTCCGCAGCTCACCAGCACCCGCTCTCAATGGGTAGGCAGGCACTCCGCTGAGGGAAACATTTGAAGGCTCAGGTCCGAGGAGGCAGGGAACTTGGAAGGAGACATCTTTAACTTTCTTATCCTGGAGCTCTCTCCTGCTCTGCACAGTCTATTCCTCTCTGCATCACCTACCCCAGACCTTGGAGTCACATCCAGACCAGGAGCTCTACCCGGGAAGGGTGCAGCTACACAGCCACCCCAGCCCCTAGGGAGCTTCTTCCTGGCTCCTGCTGGGTCTCTTTAGCACTGCAGCTTCATCCTCCAGCTTCCCTTTCCAGCTCCCCCTTTTGGGCTGACTCCTCCCTCAGTTTCTTTCAGTGCCTGGGATCCTGTGTCTGAGCCCCATGCAACCAGAGGAGCTGTTTTCATTCTGTCTTTTCCCTGAATGGAGCAGCACTCTGACCTCACCTGGATCTCCTGTCCCTCTGGGGCCATGAGCCAATGGGCAGACCAGCAATGTGAGGACACAGACTCCTTCCTCTGGTGCACTGGCTCCGGGGGCTGCCCTGCACAGGGGACCCCTTACCTCCCCCACATGGACCCTATCTCTCAGCCTCACACAGCTTTCAGGAGAATCAGGGCACCCTTAGCTCTGTGAGTGCTCACCTGCAGTCCTCTGTCCTGCCAGCATGGCAACTGATACATAGCAATGTGTAGACACCCCTCGGCAGGGCTCTCCTCCTTGCAGAAGCCCAAGATCCCTGCCTTGGCCCTGGCTTCTGTGTCCTTCCTGGTCCAGCCGATCTTCTGAGGGAGAGATGCAGGGACTGTATTCTCCCCATAGCTTGTCAAGCCTGCAAGGTTAGACTTAGAGCTGGTTCACTCTGAACCTGCATACCTTCCGGTCTATCTCTGGTCCTTCAGCTGTATATTTGGCCCTTGAAAGGATGCATTTCATGTTCACGGGGTTTCAAAAGAATGTTGTAACTGTTGCTGGGCTTGTTCTCAAGGTGCCTGGCTGTCGCACAGGTTATGTAGTTGTTACGCACTGTGGGCTTGCACTGCGCCCCCAGTGTGCTAGCAAATGTGTTACTTTGCCCCTCTGAGTGGAGATATGGAGATGCATTGTGAGGAGGTATAACGATGTTCATGGTCAGCTCTTTGTCCCAGCCATGGCTGTCTAGGTTGGCACCACCCTTATGCAGTTTGCACAAGCACCCTCCCTTCTTGTGCCCAGGGACACATTGGCTTGCTCTCTTAGGGAACAGCTTGACTTATCTTCCTCTCCTCTACCCAGAGTGGCAGCTGCCCGCCTATTCGCTCTCAAGCTGCTACTTCAAAGTCTTGCTGTATCCTCCTGTCCCTTTAGGACCCCGAGCATTTCCAGCAGTGACAGAGCATGTGCAGTCTCTTGGGACATTGCCTCAGATGCAGGCCAACACATGGGCCCGGGGGACATTACTGGGCCCACGGTGCTCATATGAAGTCTCAGCTGAGGGTCTCCTGGGCTGTTCTGATGGCCTGTCATCAGTTGATGTCTTTGTGAAGCCAAGTCCAAGGAAGACTCGATTCCAGAGCAGGAATTCATTCCTAACCTCCTTGAGTGATGGCTTCAAGTTTGGCTTCTGGGCTGTGTCTGGTTTTGTTCTGCTATGGGCCAGCTTTGCCCTGATAGTGTCACAAAGCAGCAACCATGTTGGTGGATGACACACATCAGTGCTTCACCGATTTCGTTTGTGGTCCAGAGTACCTGCTCATGCAGAGCACACGCCAGGCTGTGGGCCTGGGGTAGCTGCTTCGGGAGTGAGCCTCATGGCTCTTTGACCTGGCTGCACTCTGTCTGTGGGGAGAAGTGATAGCAGACTGAGTCAAATATTGAAGGCCAAAGTGTGGTGTGGGAGCAACTTCCTCCACCTGGTCTCTGACCCACGGAGCTGCCAGCCCTGGGGTGGGGGACATTTGAAGGTGGCCTGAGGAGAGGACACGGCACAGCAGCTTGTCCTCAGGCCATGCCCATGCTGACCTTTGGGCAGAGTTTGCTGCTGCTGTTGCTTTTGTGCTACTGGTAATGCAGCTGTTGCCCCTGCTGCCATGGCTTCCTGGACCAGTGATGGGGAGCTCAGAATCCTCAAAAGTCCTGTGACCAAGGCTCTCAGCTACATGAGTAGTCACCGCACATGCGGGGTCCCATCTCTATCACAGAGTCCAAAGCCTGAGGGTAAATCCTGTGCCACCATTTTTGTGAGTACCTGCCTACTTGTCTGTGCTGAGGGTCTGCTGTGTGAGAAACATGCTCACGTATCCCGATCCAAGAATGGACTCTGAGGCCCAAAGAGCAGGAAACAAACAGGAAACCCTGTATGATGAGCTCGCGAGTCTTAGCCAGTTACAGAGAGCAGCTGAACCCAGCACACGGGTCCCTCCTCTTAGTTCCACAGAGCCTGAGTACCTTGGGATAACATCCTTGCTCAGACCTGCCTTAGGGATCGAGGGGTGAGCTCAGCCCTTGCAGGCCTGCTGCCAGCTGAAGACACCTCAGCAGTACCAATGAGGATCCGTCCTCACCAGCCACAACATCCGCTCAGGCCTGCCTTGGTCTTTCTGGTCTCCACCAACTTGAGAAATTTGATTCTGGGTTGTATAATTGACCCACTGTCTAGTATTTAGTTTCAGGAAATGGACTGAGCACATCCATTTGAAGAGAAACACATCTGACAACCAAAAATGCAGAGATGTGGAACAAAAAGCAGGGAAAATTGCTCACTTTTATCCCTGACAATGTCTGTCTTCACAGTACATACAAACACACTCAGGGAGATGGACAACAGACACCATAAGCGCAACTGTCCACAACAACTGTAATGACTTACTGCTCCTCGCTGATAACTAAAGAACAATGAATAAATATCCCAGCATCTTTCTTTTGGCACTATCAGAGGGTGAAAATATAGAAGCTGAAGAGGATCCACTCCTCTGACAGTGCCCAGGACCTGGCACTTGCTTCTTGTTGATGGAGAGAACAATTGTCCTCTCACCAGGTTCACAACTGGGCCTCCGCCCTCTGCGTGACTGCCTGCAAGCTGCCTTCCTGTAGATCTACACTGGTAATGAATGACATCCTCGACAGTTGCCTTGCTGGCTACAGTAAAATAGAAGCACTGCAGACAACCCATGTGTTTGCTGAAGGTGACTATTTCAATAAACTGATTTGTTCAGATCCTGCAATGCCATACAAGTGTTCAAGAAGTTAGAACCAACTGTGGCTGTACTCGCTGTGCCAACTGGAATGTCCACATGGGCAAGAGCAGGGGAGGAAATGGGCAGGACAGTTTCCCTGGCCACAGTATTTGTGTTAGGTTTCTATCATTGTAACAAATGCCTAACATAATCAACTTACAAAATGGAAAGGTTTCTCCTGGCTCGGGGCTTCACAGGTTCCAGCCTCAGACTGACTGGCTGTTGCTCTTTCATCTGTGTGATCTTGGCAGCGTAACACAGCAGGGTGTGTGGTGGAGTAAAACCCTCACCTCACCTGGAAGAGAAAGAGAGAAAGTGAGGCAGGCGAAGGCCCCTTGATCTCCTTCAGGATCTGTCCCCATGACTGAGGGCTCTCCACTGGGTCTTGCCTCTCAGTAGTTCCACCTCTTGAGGACATCATCAGTCTGAGGAGCAAGCTGTTGAGGGACACACGCACACCAAGCTCTGTCAGTATGCTTGTAGGTGGCTTTCTCTCAGTGCCTTTGGTGCAGCATTCTACTTCCTCAGCCTGCCAAAGTTTCTGCTGAGAAAATTTCTGGCCAGATGAAGCACCTTCACTCTCACATATGTGGTATGAGTGGCTGTGTGTGTGTATCTGTGTGCGTGTGTGTGTGTGTGTGTGTGTGTACATGTGAGCATATGTAAACTAGGTCATGTGAATGTGTGGACTGGACAATCTCAAGTCTGTAGAGCTGGTCAGTGAGTTGGAGCCTTTGGCCAAGAGCTCACGCTGCAATATTGCTACAATATTTATTCTACTCTGGGACACTTCAGTTTTTGCTTTTACAACCTTTCATCTGATTGGATGAGGACGGCTGTATTACTGGCAATAAACTTAATCTTCTTTAAATTAATTTGTGGTCCATGTTGATCATGTCTACAAACTGCTTTCACATCAACACAAAGATCAATTTACTAACTTGGTACTGTAATTTAGACCATGAAACCATAAAAATAAGAGATATAGCCTTATAAGGCTATATCTGTCTAGAACACAGATGGCTCTTTGTCTTGCTGGGTTCAATGTTGAAAGTAAAGTTCTTTTGGTGACCCTCACCAGGGGGAAATGCTGAAAAAGTTACTTTTCATATCAACATTTGCACACCAGGTAAGAGGATGCTGGTAATTTGGTAAAGCTATGAAATGACATCTGGTACATAAGTTGCAATTGTGGTCACCATCTACATGAGCATGACATTAATCACTGTCATTCTGCAAGAGCCATCTGTGTTCTAGACAGTCCAAATTGATGAGCAGAAGGAGGAGCTCAAGGGAGCAGTATAAGAGACTGTCAAGAGCTGACTGTGGGGGCTGGAGAGATGGCTCAGTGGTCTAAAGCACCTATTTGGAACAAGCTTGGCAAAGCATCAGGGACCGCGGTTCGATCCCCAGCACCACATGCCAGCCAGCCCCGCCCCCTGGTGGGCTGAGCTGGCCACACACACAC